TCCGCGATATTGGGAAGTTTTAAATGAATACAAGTATATATACAAAGAAGCCAAAGCAAGAGTAATGATATATATAACAACCCCAGAGTTCCCAACTGGTAAAGAAGTATGACAGGGAGACGCGATATCCCCAAAACTGTTTATAGCAAAATTAGAAGAAATCTTCCGTCATCTTGACTGTACGAACAAATGATTAAAAATAGATGAAGAATATTTTAATCATCTAAGATTCGCTGATGACATAGTCCTAATTGCCAATAGTCCTGAAGAACTATAAGCATAAATTAATGAACTAAATAAAGCCAACAATAAAGTGGGTCTCAAAATGAATTTAGTAAAAACTACAACAATATACAACAAATTAGTGGAAAGAAAAGAGATTCTAATCAATAACACAACACTGGAAATTGTAGAAGAATATGTATATTAGGGACAACTACACGTAATACACAGCTCGGGATCTCTATTGCCAGAAATCAACAGAAGAATTAAGTTAGCACGGAGGACTTATGGACGAAACTAAATCATATTCAATTTTAGAATGCTACTCTACAGGGTGAGTTTCCTACGATGTTCTCTATGGGCATCTTGGAAACTACTGGAGATAGAGAGTCGGTTAAATGGGGAAAGAATTGCAGTTTTGTGGGGTCATAAATATGCGCCTTTCAGATTTTTGAAAAAGTTCATGGCTTACTAGATATTTCGAAAAAAAAAATTTTGCCTATTTTAAAAATTATCCTTAATTCCATTATAATCTATTTTAGACAAAAAAGTTTTCAGATAAAAGTTGTAGATAATCACATTCCTAATGAGTTTGTGTTTTCTAAAGCCTGTAATTTTTGACTTATGACACAAACATATGTTTTTTTTAATGGAAACCATAGTTGGCCATGACTTCATAAAAAGCGGCATTTTTAAGCTTTTCATCGATATAAGTTATAATATGTTTCTTTCACAAAATTACTGAGTTATAGCCAATTCTTATCTTTCTTGACTAATTTCACTTAGTTAGCGATGGAAACAAGTTCAATCGTCGTTGCTCTCAGAAATGTGAAATTGTCACATCCAATCTTTGTAAATTAAAATAAACAAAAATTGGAAATAAAAATTTTTCAAATGAAGAAAAGCGTGTAGGATTATTGGTTCAACTTTTCTTAGTCATACAGTTTCGAGGATACGTTGACCAGTGAAAGTTATTTACGTTTTTATAGAGAACGGTTTTCAATGGTGATGTTCTAATTTTGTTATGATTTATTACTTATAAAAAGACAAAATATATTATTAAACGTCTCTTTACAATTTGCATTACACAAACTAAAACTTAAAAAAATAATATCACTATAAGTTATTTTAGAAAATTTTCAAAAAATCTGCAATTGTTTTGAGTACATAAATGCTTCTTTTTAAAATGAATTTCTAGCTATTCTCACAGAACGACCGGTCGACTTAATTAAACTTCTCCTGTTCTGCCTCTTCGAGTGCCTCTCTCAACTCATAAGTTCTTTTGTAAACCTTGTTGTTAACCGTACCGCATAAAAAAAATCTAAAATGGCTACGTCAAGTCACCGAGGAGACCCATGCAATTTGGTCCACCACTTTCTATCCCTGAGTCCCTATCCTACGTAAGTAACGTTCACCGGTCAACGGTCAACGTATCCTCGAAACTGTATAGCCAAGAAAAGTTGAACCAACAATCCTACATCCTACACGCTTCTCTTCACTTAAAAAACTCTTATTTACAATTTTTGTTTATTTTATTTTACAAAGATTAAATGTGACAATTTCATATTTCTGGGAGCAACGACGATTGAACTTGTTTCCATGGCTAACTCAGAGAAATTAGTCAAAAAAGATAAGAATTGGCTGTAACTTAGTAATTTTGTGAAAGAAACATATTATAGCTTATATCGCTGAAAAGCTTAAAAAATGGCGCTTTTTATGAAGTCATGGTTTCCATTAAAAAAACATATGTTTGTGTCATAAGTCAAAAGTGACAGGCTTTAGAAAAAATCGGAGAACACAATCTCATTAGGGATGTGATTATCTACAACTTTTATCAGAAAACTTTTTGTCTAAAATAGATTATAATGGAATTAGGGACAATTTTTAAAATAGCCAAAATTTGTTTTTTTTAAATATCTAGTAAGCCATGAACTTTTTCAAAAATCTGAATGGCGCATATTTATGACCCCATAAAACTGCAATTCTTTCCCCATTTAACTGACTCTCTCCAGTATTTTCCGAGATACCCATAGAGAACATCGTAGGAAACTCACCCTGTATATAGAGGAGAAAACATTCGATTAATGTATACTACCAGTCATAATCTATACATCATTAGGCATGCGAACCCTGGACACTTAAAACGGACGTCGTAATCTATACTAATATATAAAATCCTTAAGTGACTGACATACTGATTAATCACGATCCTGCTCAAACCACTCAACGTAAGAAGCTCAATTTTGCCATACACGTTGCTTCTAGGGTGTAGAGTATCCCTCAAATATTACAATATTTTTTATTTAAAAAACGGTCAAGTTTCCTAAAAAACGCTTAAACACGTATATTTTATTTTGTTTTTTTACATATTTTCAGAATTTTAAAAAACGTATACACGGTGTTTCGAAAAATCTGGTCATTGATTAATCACGATCCTGCTTAAAGCGCTTGACGTAAAAAGCTGATTTTTGGAAAACAGATTGGATTGAATTATAAAAAACATACTTTCTGGTAATTTTCTCACTTTTTTAAAATGAGTGGAAGGTGTTGAAATAAACTACCTCTATCATTCTTGTTGACAAAATTTAAAAAAAAAACTAATCAAACACATGCAAAAATTAATTTGGATAATTTGGTTTGTTTAGAAACTTTTTTATCTCTTGTGTTTTTTTGATAAAACTCACCGATTTGAAATTAAAAAATAAAATGTAAAGCATTACATATCAGGACAAAAAACATTTTTAGATAAAGAATCTAGTGGGCTGCTCTAATTTTTTTAGGAAAAAATCAAGTCGGCCGCTGTCACTTTTTAGGATGTTTCTAATACCGTATGATCGAATAAAAACGACGTCAGCGATGGCTATGAAATGAAGATCGCTGTCATTTTATATGTAAATTTATATAGGAAATGTCATCGATCCTCATTTCTCAGCCGCCGTTTTTTCTCGATCATACGGTATTATTTTATTGACATTACTCTACTGCAATACGTTATTATCTAGATTCTTATTATTATCGTTATTATCACTAGATTCTTTATCTAAAAATGTTTTTGATCCTGACATGTAATGCTTTACATGTTATTTTTTAATTTCAAATCGGCGAGACTATCAAAGAAACACAAGAGATAAAAAAGTTTCTAAATAAACCAAGCTATCAAATCAATTTTTTGTATGTGTTTGATAAGATTCTTTAAATTTCGTTAACAAGAATGATAAGGGTAGTTTATTTCAACCCCTTCCACTCATTTTGAAAAAAATGAAAAAATTACCAGAAAGTGTGTTTTCGTAATAGTAATGCTCCCATAAAATTTCATTAGACTATCTCTTTTCGTTTTCAAGATAAAAAATAAAAACATTATTTTTCCGCCATCTTTGTACCGCGATCCCTAATGGTTGACTTTTGACCCAACGTTTATGAAGCAAACTACCCTTTATTTTGAACAAGGAATCGCCCCCTGAAGTTTTTCGTATTTGTTTTGAAACACCCTGTATATACTTCCGGTTTTACCACGAGTGGTTGCCAAATTGCTTGTTTTAAGTAGAATACCCGTATATATTTTGATACAAACTGATACGAATATATCTGTACAACATATACCTAATTTTCGCCATTTTTAAAATCTTATAACAAAATGGCATTCGCAAAGAGAAAGATAGTTCTCTAGTTTTCTGTTAGATATTATCCCCTTATTTAATACTAGACGACATATAAGATACTCTTTTTATAGAGATTTTTGGATCTATAGTAATAATATAAAGTTAAATTATTGCAATTAATCAATTATTTAATTCATCATAACTTTACATTTTTTAGATTTGTCTGACTTAGATATTTAACTAATAAAAATAATTTTTCATATTTAACGGTGTAATTTGTACGATAAAAGTACATTTAGTAAAATATTACAAAGATTTCAAATATTTTAAAATATATTTCCCACAGTTAAATATCAAAAATATTTTTTAGTATTTGTACTGTGTTCAATATTATTACTTACTAATTACATACTTTTGCAAAAAAAGCAAAGTAGGAAGAAATAGTTAGGTTGAAACCTGCCGAATGATATAGAAATTGAAAAATGTGAAACTTGCCTATTAAACATATTAAGTTTGTATATTCAGGGATCCATAGTTACTAAAGTTCATTAATTTTTATCTAACAATCATAACTTCTATATTTAGTATTGAATTATATATTACTAAGGGATGGTTTATTTCTGCAAAAAAATGTTAATTAATTTTAAATTAATTAATTTCAAATAGATGTATAGGTATAATATAAACGGCGTCAAATACGGCTAGGCAATGACAACCAATAATAATTTTGGCGAGGTAAATCTCTACACTTCATTTACTAAAAATGAATAAATTAACACTTATTATAGAAAGATTAATAAAGGACAGAAAACCGTTTCCAGACACACAAATCTATTTCCAAAAAATGTTTTATTGAATTTTAAGCTACACAATAAAAATCAATTTTACTCAATATAAATATAAATAACAACCTTCCTAAGGTTTAAGCATTAGGCACCATTAAAAAATAAAGAAGAGTACCTACTAGCCAAGTAAATGACGTATAAGGCTTGACCTCGCCAAAATTATCATCGATTGTCATCTCCCAGCCGTCTTTGACGCCGTTTTTTTTCAATCGTATCGGTACATTAAAAATATTAATTAAAAATACTTTATAATAATTGGTTTTGTTGTGTATAAAATTTCTATTTCTAAACGAACAACATGCAACTACAAATGAAAGATTTTAATAATACATACCCCTACTTTTTTTAATTTCGTTTCTTCCTGAAAAATAAAAATAATTACGTTTAGCTTACACATACGAAAATAATTAATGGGGAATTTTTAGAGGAATTACGGAAACATATACAACTAGGCCACATTAAAATCCGGTATTTAATATTCGCGGACATGGGGAATTTTTGTGTTAAAGGTATACTAAAAGCTCATTTTTTAACTTTAGTTCTTTTATAATGAAGGATACTGTATGTTTTACAATTTACGTATAAATTATGCTTTTTTAACTGAGCTTTCTTCATTAAGCTGAAAAAATATCATTACTTATTAAAATTATATTGTTGAATGTGTAAATATATAACTCATCGTACAATCTCAGAACTTTGATAATAGCCAGTATCTGAGACGGTTTTACAGAGGTTAGTTCTCCATCTCAGATATCAGTCGTACCAAACTTCATGGCAAGAGTAGTTGTTGTCTCGGCGCTTCTGGTGTTTCACCATTTTCCACACAGAATCTGCTTTCGTTGTTGTTTCTTAGCTTCAATTTACTGAGGTGTTCGTTGAGGAGGCAGTGTCCTGTTAAAAACCTCGCGACAATCCGACGAGTGTTCTTACTTAAATCAAGGAAAATATTTGATTCTCGGTAGTAAGTTTTGTGAAATTTCTTCGAGTGTCTTGGACTGTTGGTGGATTCCCATTCCAGGCTACGGATGGAGTCTTCCAGTTTCTTGAGTTCCGCTTTGAGTTGGTTTCCACTTGGAAAGCAGAACGATTCATGTTCAGATAGTGGATTGATCGCTCTTTTTCTAGCTAGATCGTTTTCTTTTTCATTGCCTTCTACGGGTGTCTCAAAAAACATGTGCCACCTCTAGTGGCAGATTCTTCACGTAAAAATAAGTTTTATTTTTCATATCAACATAGGTCCGATTCTGCTTTGTTTCGTAGCTACAGGGTGTTAAAGTCTTAATAATCTTTCGATTTATTATAATTTTCTTATAATAAATTTATTTTTTTTCTTATAAAAAAATTTCTTTTAATTTATTATAAAGGACTTTTAGTGATTCGAATGAAATTTTGAGGGTAAAAGTTCTACATATTTTAATGCTAAAAAAGTGTCCCTAAATTCATCAGGGACGTGCATATGGGTTATCACTATAATATTTTTCAAAAAAAAACATGTGCGCCACTGACTTTTATCTTTTGATATGAAAATCGTGTAGGCCGTTTAATGTCAATTAAAAGTGATCTCTCACTATTTTGTCGAATTCGGCCTCCTTAATGAGAAAAAAACGCAATTTTATTAATCACAATTAATAAAATTAAAATAAAAATAAAATTAATAAATTATATATTTTACCTAATTTCTTATTAAATATTATTACTACTAGTTATTATTAATATTAGTCCAACCTATAGCAATTTAAAATAAAAAAATAATATTTTAAAAAGTTTTGACATCCTGTAACTCTAAAACTATGCATTTCCATACCCATGTTTATAGGAACTTTTTTTCATATTTTTTGATGAGGAATCAATGAGTACTTATTAAAAATTTTTAAGGGTTGCTATCAGACTTGGATCAAGGCAAATTAATAAAATTGCGTTTGTCTCATCTTCTTCTTCTTCTTCTAGTGCAGATCCATTAATGGATGTTTGCGATAACATTTTCCATTGCTTCTCTGTTCCGGGCGGTGTGTATTAACGACTGAACATCGAGTAGCCCTGTCCACTGTCCAATATCCCTCAGCCAAGACATTTTCTTCCTTCCGATACCCCTTCGGCCTTCGATCTTGCCTTCTATCAACAAATGCAAGAATTGATATTTGGGGTTTCGCATTATGTGCCCCAGGTATGCGGTCTTTTTCTTTTTAATCAATTCAAATAATTCACGCTATTTGTCAACGCGTCTGAGAACTTCCTCATTTGTCAATCTAGCCGTCCAAGGTATCTTCAGGATTCTGCGATATAGCCACATCTCAAAAGCCTCATTTTGTTGATGGTAACTACTTTCAATGTCCAACCTTCCATACCATAAAGGAGCACCGACCACTCATAACAATTTACGAATCTTAATCTAAGGCTAACGTCAAAATCAGAACAGACAAGTACTTTTCGAAACCTCAAGAATGTCTGCCGAGCTTGTTCGATGCGACATTTAATTTCCTTGTCTGATGTCCAATCTTCGGAGAGCCAAATGCCCAAGTACTTAAATTTATCTACTCTTTCTATGGGCCTTGAATTAAATGTTAGGATGGAGTTATAAACACATCTGGATTTCTGGATATAATCATAATTTGGTTTTGTTGATGTTGATGTTTAAACCCATTGCTTTGCTCTGTTCTCCTACCTTGTTGACCAGTTGTTGTAGGTCGTGTATATTGTCTGCAATTAAGACCGTATCGTCGGCATAGCGGATATTATTTGTCTCATCAAGAAGGCCGAAATCAACAAAATATCAAGACAATTTTTTAATCGGCATTAGACTGCTTACACTATTTTGCTAACAAGAGAAAAAAATGTCAGTGACGTACATGCTTTTTTTAGAAAAATATTTCAGTAATAACCCATGTGCACGTCCCTGGTGAATATGTCGACACTTCTTTATCTTTAAAATATGTCGCATTTATAGTAACTTTTACCTTCAAAATTTCATTGGAATCGTTACAAGTACTTGGAAGAAAATTATAATTAATCGAAACCATATTAAGACTTTAATACCCTGTAGCTACGAAACAAAGCAGAATCGAACCTATGTTCATATGAAAAATAAATCTCATTTTTACATGATATAACGTTTTTAGTTCGTTACATGTCTTTTTTATATATAGTTTATGATGTCTGGGGGCCTATCATCACCGGATTCCCTCTCGTTCAGGCCGGATAGGTTATTTGACGCGTAATTTTTACGTTCCCTGGTCGCCAACCCTGTGATCGTTCGACACAACCCTGTTACTATTCTGTGAAGGCGCGCGCTGTCAACATCGCTTCTGTCAACTCTCCGTGCTTAACCTCACTTTGTTTTGACGCTCTGTTTTATCCCAGCTTTTAGAAATGGTGATTATTTAAATCTTGTTGTATAATCTGAATCAGCTGCTATTTCAAAGCAACAGGTAAAGATGAGATATTATCCTTTTAGATTCGATATTATTATTGAATATTTTTAGGGTAGAGTTACGGATGTCCCAACTTGTATTTGTGTTTTGCTGACACGTTGGCGTCCCTTTGCTTTTGTCCTCCAGAATGTCATTTGGAAGAAAGGACAGATTGTTTATTATTTATTGAGCCCTCGGAAGTATTTCGAGGTAGGTTCATTTTGTTTATTAGACGGTGTTTGATTTTAAACAAGAGTTTCGTGGTCCAAGGTACGGACTGTGTCCAAGTAAGGACTGTGTCCAAGGTACGGACTATTCCAAGGTACGGACTGTGTCCAAGGTACGGGTAGTGTTTTATGTACGGACATTATCTTATGTACGGATGTCCTGTGGACGAGTGTCCCCAGTAAGAACGATTTTTTCATACATATAAGTGCCACAGCGTGGATGTAGCTTGAGTCCCATGCTGCTTCGTTCCCAGCTGTAAGCTAGTTAGTTACGGCTGTACCAATTTATGGTGTCTCATTCTGGCCCCTTTGGTTGTGTTGGATGGCTGAGTACAGAGAAGCGAGACCACCTCACGCTGCTACTGTTTGAAGCAAGATTACATAAAAAACAGCTAAGTGTAGATTTACGTTCTAGTTTTTATGTTTTAGATTTTCTATATTTTCAGTCTTAAACAGTAACGTACATTTTAAATAATATCGTACAGACTATATTTAGTGGTTAGATTATTAAGAACATTTATGTCGATGCAGTAGTTACAATGTGATTTAGATTTTAGGTTTCATTATATTACGCCTTGTAATAGTATTACTTTCTATAGATAATATTGCGCTATATTAACAGATGAATAACGAGACATAGATTCTAGAATCTACAGGTTGCAACACATCTGATTTAACACCGCATAAAATTTAACAATTTAAATAAAGTAATGCTACTTTTCTTATATCTTCTATAACGTTACACGCATTGTATTTTTTCATAGTCTTTTCATAGAACGCTACAATGAGGAATCACCCCACGAGAGATGGCACGTGTTTTTTAAATACCCTGTATAACTTGGCAGGCTCACAGCCAGAGTACTTTATTATCTTTGCCTAATTTGTTCAGCCTTTCTAGGCATTCTTTAACCAACTTCGAACTGGTGGTTACTAAGATAATCGCTTTTAATGCTGCTTGACTAATGATAAGATCGGCTATTTCTTGTGTCCGAAAATTATGTTAGGTGAAATTAAAAACAAAACATATTAAAAATTTCTAGCTTATATTTAATAAAAAATCCCACTGTTTTTCCACAGTACTTGACTATACTCCAAAATACTTCACTATATACTCTCGAAGCTCGTTTTTCTAACCATTTTACCAACATGATTACACGATTAAAACTCGATTACTTACTGTGGTAATTACTTTTCGTTTTAATCATCCGCTGATAGTGATAACATGGTTAGCAAAACGCGCGTCCAGAATTTACTGCAATATGTTTTACTGGACTGCGTTAAAATAGAGTTGTTTTGCTATTGTAACTCCAAAAATCCTGACCGCTCTTTATAATTCTACGGTCTTAAATCATTTCTAAAATAAAAATAATCTTAAGTCAATCTCAACGTAACGTTTAAATGATTTAAATCTTAAGTTTTTGACTTAAAGTCGTTTCCATAAAGAGTAAAGTCGTTTTTATGACTTAAGTCTATATTTTTGATTCTTTTTTTATGTCCCTTTGACAAGAATGTAAAACAAACAAGAATCAACACAAAATAATTTAAAACACATATTTAAAAGATATGGGGATACATAGCAATAATAATAATAATAACGTTTATTAAACATTTTCTCTTGAAATTAAAACAGATACAAAATAGTACAGTACAATACAACATAATAAGCTATACTATATATAATAAGCAATTTAACTAAGACTAAATATAAACTTTAAGAATCGAAATAA